TCTACCCCCTCTACCCCTCTCCCTTCATGCCTAGTCCTCTGTTTAGAGGAAGCCTAAAAAGAGACACAAGAGATTCGCAAATAAACAAAATACTCAAAATATTTTAAAGAATTGAAATAGAGCCCAATGAAATTTAGAAATGTAAGAATAACACTGCTTTTATATTAAAGTTTCTGAAATAAATCATATGTTCTTTTGAATTATTAAATCATTGACCATTATTCATAAAATATTGAAACATAGTGTTGGCTTAACACATTTTGTTACTTAAAACAAACAAACAGCATTTCTTTTCTTTCTATTTATATTTTTAAACCAAGTGATTTTCCTTCTAAACAGATGGGTGTGTGTTTCAAAGACATAGATTTCAAAATCCATCATAACACAACTTTCAGCGATTCTAAAGTTTCCATAAATAGGACAAAGCAGTTTCTGCTCAACTTTGTCCTTTAGGGGCCAAGCATCTCAGCAGGGATGCAGCATCCAGACACCCGAGGCCTGGGCCGGTCCCGCGGAACAAGTAGACGGTCCTGCTTTGCATCAATCACCTGCAGAAGCTCCGCGAGTTGACCCTGCCAGCTCCTTTCATTGTGCCCAGCAGTATAGAAATGGCTCAGAGAAGTAAAATACAGCGTGACTGTGAATCTTAGGATAGGGTGCTGTCGAGGAGAAAGCATTCCCAAGTTATGATGACAAAGTGGTGGTTGAATTATAGTGTATGCTCTTTGTTCAACTGGAACAAAGAGCAAAACCCTTGCTTACTACTAGTTTTATATTTTTTGAGAAGTTAGAAAAAAATTAAAGTACTTCTCTTCACTAAATTGGAGCCGTTAAAAACCATGGAAAAAGAGAAATTGTGGCCTCGCTCATCTCTCGAGCAATCACATTTCATCCCCTCTCCTCCCCACCGCCGTGCCCCCAACTCACTTGCTTTTTCTTTGAGGAATGAAAAAATTTACTGATATTCTAGAGCAGCAGTTCTCAATCTATGGGTCACGACCCCTTTGGGGTGGTCGAACGACCCTTTCACAGGGGTCGCCAGATTCATAACAGTAGCAAAATTACAGTGATGAAGTAGCAACGAAAATAATTTGATGGTTGGGGGGGTCACCACCACCTGAGGAACTGTCCGAAAGGGTCTTGGCATGAGGAAGGTGGAGAACCGCTGCTCGAGAACAAGACGCCAAGTCGCTCTGTGGTCGCTGATCTTGGGAGTTACAGAAAACTTCAGTTTCATTTTCTTTCCGTTATATACTTGCGTATGCTGGTCATAAACATTTACTTTTTGTCCTAGATATTTAACACAATCTATTTGACATCCTGGGGTTTTGGGGTTGTAATTTGAATGTGCTCGATATTGCAAGTGTATTGTTAAATTGTACAATCTTTCCCCTTGAATTGTCCCATGATGTCAGTTCATTATTTTCTTTCTATTCTGAAAGGTAGCCTTTCAGCATCTTAAAGTGGAGGGACCACACACAGGCTAAACAGAGAGTGGAGGTAAGCTCGCAGAAGGACACACACTGTGACAACTTGTGTGTGAAAACCACCTACTGGAAAAAGAAGATTAGCGAGGGAGAAAGCGTCCCCATTACAGAAACCCCACCTGGAAAACATCAATGCTTTGCTGTCACGTTGTCTCCTCTTAAATGATAATATAAACTTTTAACGCGACCCTTAAAAAGATCACAAATGCTTAAGAGCTAAGTGATGTGCTTCAGATGTGGTAGCGTACCTTTAATCTCTTTTGTTTTTTTAAAAAATTATTATGACATCAAACCAAACCAAACCAAACCCACTGGCAACACGTTGGTTCCAATTCACACCAACCCTGTGTAGGGGTTCTGAAGCGTGGTAAGAAGTTATGGCAATAAACAGCCTTCTCTCTCTGAAATAAATCATATGTTCTTTTGAATTATTAAATCATTGACCATTATTCATAAAATATTGAAACATAGTGTTGGCTTAACACATTTGCTCTTGGAGCACCTGGTGAGTTTGAACTGGCTCGCTGTCCAACGCTTGCCAGGCAGGGCCCCTGCGGCCCTAAAGCCATATAAACAAAACTGAGGAAGATTTAAGGGGAACACATAACCCCAACAACTCAAGTTCTGCTTTTTCATATTTCCATGTTTTTTACCAGTTCTTATCCATTTCCACACTACTAGTTATAATCAGGACAGCACAGACATATACTTTTGAAATCCAATTATTCACATCGCCTCATAGTTATATTTTGATGGTACAACATACACTATAAAAATTGAGACGAGCACAACTTTTTCTATGACTATTGGATAAGCTACTTCAGTTTAAAAAACAAATGATAGTATATATTAACAGCCGGTGCCAAGAGAAGGGTTGGTTAACATGTAATTTTTTTCCCATAAGAAAAGAAAAAGAAATTGTAGTTGCAATCACAGAAAGGCTACAACACAATGCAGTATTTATGGTCAAAAGTCACACAGGTTCTTACATTTTAAACAAAATAAACCTTTTCTAATGAAATTGTTGTATCTAGAAATTAGATGAGATTGATATATTTTACTTAAAAGGGATCTACTTTAAGATGCAAATTGTATTCTCGGATATATTTACAAGAAGGAAAACAAAACTAAAATGTTCACTTACCAGCCTGCTCTTTCTCTGAAATACCCGAAGCAGCCTAAAAAAAGAAAAAAAATGAAATTGAAAAAAAGAAAGAAATATGAAATAACACCATTTGGAATAAAATGAAGTACCATAATGAGTAAAAGTGAAGTGGACCCTGATGATCGCAAACTACGAATTGTGACCCTGTTAGTAAAGGTCACTAGAGTCTCCTGTGATAACTGTTAAAGCCACGAGGATACCATGTTCTGTTCTAGAGAAGCGTGCAAGCTGACATGTGCCCATAGAATCTCAAATCACATTAGTAAGACATAAAACTGTTCTTTGAACTTGGGTGGGATTTTTGTAACATATTTTGCTGTCTTATTTTAAGGAGGCAGGTAAAACAATTTTGGAGTCAATTTCTGTACCATGACCCCCAAATCTTTTCCCTGGCCCTTACTTGCTATGTGCACTGGAAGGAGCTACCTTCCTTCTCCAAGGCCAGATTCTTTCTATGTAAAACAAGGAGAATTGCATCTTTCCCAGTTTGCTGAGAAGACAAAATGTGGCTAGTACCCTTATTAGAGGTATGGTCTTTTCAGGAAAAGGTGCCTCCCACACTTCAGTTCTTTGAAAAATCCTTTTCATAATTTTGTGTAATGTAATATACAAGTATCCCCTAGAGAGTATATGTTTAATAATAATTGTTAAGTCAAATTCAAATAAATTTCCCATTATATCCTGAATGAGAAAGTAAAGTTCATGAATTCATAGGTTTTCTTTATTGGGTATATTGTTCATAAAGCTTATTAAAACAAACCACTAGTTACACACTGAATTGTGCCTCCCCCTACACCTGCCCTCCAAATATGCATTGTAAATCCTAAAGCCTCTATCTGGTTATAACCCCATTCAAGAACGAGTGTTCTTTGTTATGAAGTGAGGGGACACTGGTGTAGGGCGTGCTTTACTGTAGGGTCTTCTGAGATGAAAAAAGATGCAATTAAGCAAGTGCAGCTGGGTGCACATGGGTGCTCTTAATATTGTTTTTTTATAATGGGCATTGTTCCAGGTGCTAAATTACTGATATTAAAAGGTTTAGAAGCTCAACTCCTCAACTCTATCACTATCATTATTTTAAAAATAGAATCATGAATTAGATACTTTCAAACAACTTAAAACTTAACGCTCATTCTACTGTGTGTAGATATTTATCTCCATTATCTTGTACTGCTATAATGGCAAGGCCACAGATACTTATCCTCTCACAGTTTAGGAGGCTAGAAGTTCAAGTGGAGGACACCTTCAGAAAGGGAACGGAGCACTGCTGGTGTAGTGGCTACTCAACGGGCTTGGATCTACATGGTTGTCAGTTTGAAGCCACTAGCAGCTCCTCTGGAAAAAGATTGGGTTTTCTACCTCCTGCTCCCCGCCCTCCCCCCCCCACGTAGTTACAGTCTCAGGGGGCCCAGGTCCAAAGAATATAGTCTGCTCCAAGTTTTTCTTGGTGGTAGGTAGTAAACCCCTAAAATCTCTCTTGATTGTTTAATATCTTTTATATCTCAAATGATATTGACTCAAGAGACAGCTAAATCCTATATATCACATCCTGCCTCATGAGCATAACTGCTGCTAATTCTGCTCCGTTAACATTATAAAAGTTAGGATTTACAACACATACAAAAGGGTCATTTGATTTTTCCCTTCAGATTTTATCCCACAGGAAAACCATTTCCTCCCATATCAAGAAAGTTTTCCAAAAGTGATGCTTTGGAGAATATTTTAAATGAAATGAAATTCATACCTGTGTTATATTTTAAGCCTAGCCCCTTGATTTATTCCCTTACCAGAAACCAGGGATAGTAAATGTAAAAATTTCTCTCTTTTTTTTGGTGTGTGTGAAAAGCAAACAAAAACAAAACACATATCAAAACAAAATCCTGTTCATTGCTATGATGGTGAAGTTCAGGTGGGAGATGCGTGATAAAAAGTTGGGCCCAGAGAAAGTCCCGCAATGTAAATATGAGTAGTTGTCAAGCGCATAGCCGTAGTGTTCATAAGGCGCGGTTTTAGGCTGCTGCTTTGCATAAAGTCACTCTATCCTTAGAACACCCCCGTGAAGCTGTGAAAATTAAAATCACGTTTGCAAGGCCTCACAGTCTGTCATGGAAGCCACAACCCCTGGCACACTGCCGCTGAGCCACCAGCTCTCGGAGTGTTTGGAAACACAACCAGGGAAGGTCAGAAGGGTCTCATGGTAAGACACTGACTTAAATGATAAAAATACAGGTAAATGAGAAACTACCCAGTGAAGCTCCCTCTTTTTCCAGTTAGGATGTCTGAAACCTAGACACGTCAATGGTCTTTTCAAAATCCTGACCAACAACAGTGACCGGCCTTTTCCATATTTAATTTGATTTGATTGCAAAGTTATGTAACCAAGCACAGCTAAGTCAATATTTAATAAGAATAATTATCGATGAGTTTGACTATGTAACCAGTGCCAATTACAGCTGAGTCTCACCATGTTCTTGATGATTCTTTAAGCTACAAAAGCTCACTTGTATTTTTTTGATGATTTATAATGTTTTAAATAAAAGGATAGTGTTGTCTCTAAAGTGAACCAGGGACATATATAAACCATAAATGTTGCCGTTAGGTGACATGACATTGAGTCGACTCAACCCGGAATGACGCTATGCGCAATGGAACGAAACACTGCAAAACAGTAGCTGCATGGATGGATTTAGAGCTCTTCCTTACATATAGCCCTACACTAAGAAAATGAGCACTTATGACATGGCCCTGCTTGATACTTGCCTTCATAGAGAGATCGCTGAAGATATGGTACTTCAACAAAGCGAGGTGAGGAAATCAGATGATGCCTATCTAGGGTCATAACAGCTTGTCTTAAAGGAAGCATCCATTTAAGTGAGGTGGCAGCTAAGTCCACATCGAAGAAGCACACCAGCCAGTGTGAGCAAAGGATTGCAAATAATGAAATCCGAGACCAGAGGAAACATGGTCTTCAGAAGGTTATGGCTGACACAAGCTCACTTCTATTGAATAACTGTATTGTTATATAAAACCACCGAGGCCAGATAATCAAAGACTATGTGAAGAGAATTTTATAGTTTCTTTTAAAAGTTAAACTAGATAGTAATAATAGCAGAATATTCCTCGGCTAATTATCTTTAAATCAGAGGGAGAATGATCTCTAGATTATTTTGATTCAATGCATTTATTAAATGGTTAAAAAAATTCATTGGCTATATTTGTAAAACTCTCCCAGCGTCAAATGAGAAAGGATTAGAAAACACTGACATTTGTTTTTCGATTAATTAAAGCTATTTGTTTACTCTTAGTTACATGTCTATCATAAATCTAGGAATGAAGAGTCCTTAGCATTGACTCCAAAATGTTTCATTGAAGCTTACTAAAATCTTTTGGGGACTCACAATGTAATTAAAGAAGATACATCGAATGTGAATCGCAGTTTCATAGAGTGGGTGATTGATGGCAACTGTTAGCGCTGCTGTAGGTATTTTAAGGGGAGTGGGAAGAAAATAGATAAAAGTTCTACTAAAGTGGAAAGGGAATGATTTGGGGGGAGCATTGAGCCCTTGGGAAGGAGGCATTGGTCAGGGACTTCTTGGCCTTGACTTCTGAGAAGAAGTATGGCTAGATTTGAGGCCAATTGGCATCTATCTGGGTCCCCCAGCCGTGCAAATGGCTAAGCCTTTGGTTTGAACCCAGCCACAGGTGTTCTTTAAATAATGACCTGGCGATCTGCTGTTGAACTATCTGCCTTGAAGGTCCTCCAGGGGACAATTCAACTCTGGACGTACGGGGACCCTGTGAGGAGGAAGCCATTGAATTGCAACAGGCTGGGTTCGTTTTGTTCTATCAAAGCCTCCCTCCACTTCCTGCTGTGGCTGTCTTGTCTAGTCCTGTGTCCCGAGGACCCATGGAATTTTCTGTCTTCCTGAGTCTGGAAAGGAAGATTCCAAGTCAGTTGGCTGTATAACCTGGTACAGAGTCAACACTCACTGACATTAAAATATGAAATGCATACTTGTATATTGAGTTTAAATATCATGTATTACTTACTGTTGCTTGTGGGAAAGCGCCCATAAAAAGAATATGTTTGAATTCATTAGGGACTTTTGTTAATAGCTGCCATATGTTTCATTTAAACTGCATCCCCAGGAAGTGATTTAACATTTCTGGCAATAAAGCAATTAAATCAGATTTTCCTGTTGGCCATATGGGTTCGCTGTAACTTCATATTTTCTTCTCTCCTTTCTCAGTGCAACACAGGAAAGTTTACTAACAATTTCCAAATGACGGGGGAAAAAACCATTCATAGCCTTTTGTTTTTCTTCTGTGTGATATTCAAATGACAGACTAGCTCATGCCCACTTCCACGACCCTGCCTGTATACTTTGCCACAATGAGATTTGAAGTTAAGCAGGATTGTTAAAGTATGTTTCAAAATTGAATTTTTTAAAAAGTGACTAACACAAGTGTTTTTAGTGGAAGAGCAGGAAACGCTCGGCTGTCCTCCCTTAACGAGCAGTCTTAGAAGAGCGCTGTGTGGGAGTTTGTTTTGGATGTGAAGCAAGTGTGTATGTTTGTCTTTGGATGTGAAACAAGGTTGGGGAAATGTTGTTTCTGACATGCTGGTGTGGAAATGTAGATTCTTTTGGTCGGAGCTACGATGGCTTTCTGTGTCACAGGAGGATCTCAGCTCTGCCTTTGTATCCGCACACACAATCCACACAGGAGCGGCTCACCGAAACAGTACCACAAGGCAAAGCTGCTCTAGGACAATGACAATCGAAATGTTCCCGTTGACTCCATTTCTTCTCAACGCCGTAGTTGAAAGTAGAATATGATTTTTCCTGTTTAGTGTATTAATTTTATTAATATGCCATTTCTCTCGTTTGTATATGTAATTTTTTCTTAGCTCTCTGGCATCAGAACAAGAGTGGTACCAGTAGAAGATCCTTTGCATATCATATCATAAAGGCCAATGCCTTCAAGCAATGGGAAACTTTGGTATTCTGAAAG